TGTGCCTTGCACTGTGCAATATAAACTTAAGTACCTACCTTTAGTACCTCTAGTACTTTAGTAACTTTAGTGGTACCCTTCCATGAATGAAGTGTCTTTCTCACTGCCCCCATGCAAGCTTTTACGATAGTGGGCCTTGTATTCGGCACAGCAGTGTTCCATTCCAGGGCAATAAAAGAAGTTTACGAAGCAACGACATAGGAGTAATTCCACAACATGGGCGAATTGATCTCGATCTCGATATTTCTTTTACAATTCAGGTCAGCTCTTCACTCCTTGGAGTTTACTGAGATACTGTGTATTTATAATTTATTTCTACTCATCTTTACATTTCAGTATCCTCACTTCGTTAAGCGAAAAGGAAATACCCTGCAGGTTCTTATCCAAAGAAGGCGGAGATTCAAGAACAGGCCATTTCCGTCATCGTTTAAGGTTAGAGTTTATTATTATATTTGAAATAGTGCAGGAGTCTTTAGCGCTGTTGTAACTGGTGATTACGATTTCCTTTCCATTACCGGAGCAGCTCTCCATGCGCGTGTAGATCTTGCCGCCGTCTTCATTCAGTTTGTGACCCAAGCAATACATGTGCGGTACGTAGGCTGCGTTCATACTTTGCGTGAGCATTTTGAGCAAGTAGGAAAGCATGGATATCAAACCAGCATTTTCAGCGTCCACCAGCGTTTTGAGCGACTAGAAAACTATGGTCAACGATCTAGCGTTTTGGGCATACGCCAGCATGTTGAGCGTTTTCGCGGCTGAAAACCCTGACGCACGCTCGACTTCTAGATCGCTGTTCATAGTTTTCTAGTCGCTCAAAACGATGTGATGTCGTACGGTGGCGCACGCTAGATCGATACCTACACTTTCCTAGTCGCTCGAAAACCTCAAAGCGCTGGCGTTTGCTTGAAAGCTTAGAACGCTGCCGTACATTCATAACGCTAACGCAGAGAATAAACGCAGTCTTGTTGTCGGTTTTATCAATTTTGTAACTCACTCCGGCTAGTACTGAAAGGAGAAAAAATTAGAAGCAAATAGTCCACACGAAGTCAATTCCAATTTCAATCTTGTACTTAGCTGGCGCAGTTTGGCGACGAGGGGGGGGGCTTTTGCACTTTTGCTGCCCTGTATCCGGTTTCCAATTCGACGTGGTTAAGACTAAACTCTTGTGACTGGCAGCTCGAAGAGCTGCCAGATAGCTAGTAAAACCTGTCAACTGCAAGAAGTAGATTCAGGATGGGCTGGGACACGCTATGGATAATGGAAGCATAAGTGCAAGATGCCCTCGCCCGTCTCGCCGTCGGGCCGAACTGCCCTGTTTAGAGTATTTAATCATGTTGGTGTATCCTTGATCTTTCTTAACTTCGAGCAAGGTATTTGCAAAATTTATGCTATAGTCAGCTGGTTGTTACGTGGCAGTGAGTGAGTCGCATAATATATATTTGTCTTTTTAGTGGTTTGCTCATATATGAATATGCTGTATCGCTTAAGAAGGTAACTGACATGTTTTTCAGACAATCGCTTGTCGTTGTGATATTACCAGCTTTGCAGGCTGGGGCTGCGGAGAAATACGTGTGTGGTGTCGATAGCAAAGAATAAGCAGTCTCAACAGGTGGTTTGCGCCGTCATTTGTCTTCTTTTTTGATCAAATTAGATTGTATCATGGCGATGTTCGTAGTCCGATAATTTTCATGATTAGTTTCTTTATTTTGCTTTCGTGGAAAAGTTCGCCCCATCGGTAGACTGTATCCAAGAGGACTGTCCATTGTGGCGAGTGCGAACGGAGCTGCTTTGAAGACATGGCCTGTCGCAAGTTTTCAAACTGCACACCCGCGTTCACGTGTGATCTGGCACCTTCTTTGGATATGCTAGTCCTGCACGCAACCATAGAGGGTGTATTATTTCTCATTTAAAAAATACGAGAGGAAGGCGCGACCCGCTCGCGACGTGGTCACGGTCCCACCCACTGGCCACGGCAACGCCCAATTCATCCTTCTGGTGCGATTGTACCGCTACGAACTATTTTCATTACGAATGGTGGGAGTGAAGTGATAAGAAGCAAGTGCTGACATGAACAAGCGACAACTCGTTCAACTGCGCCCTTTCTTCGCCTTATGCACGCACAGTCGCGGTCCAGCATAGGGTTCTTTCTATAAGAGACATTTCGGGTGGGTTTCTTCTGCTTTTTTCTTAACCTTATGCTATCCTCCATCCTCTCATTCAAAGCCACACAACTGATATTTTTTTGAATTCAGAGTATGCCTTTAGATGGACACGTTGAGCTTGAGCTCATATTATTTTGTATGCTTGCCTTAAAAATTTAGACAAACTGGTATTTTGAAAACGTTTATGTTATTCTCAATCGTTTGGTGCATAAGACCTCCCGTTAACATACGACTACCACTCTGGTTTGGGCGATGGATCTGTAAATATTTCCGGAGAACTATGTTTCTTGGTAGTTCAGGATAGCTGAAAATAATGTTTTTTTTCTTCGCCCGCTATGGTTAATGTCATCTTGTCATTTGTGTGGTATTGCTATAAATGTCACAGATGTCACATTCTTTCCATGGCGACATTGCGTTGCAAAATGATTGTGCCGTTTTGGTTTCCCGAAAATCGATTTTGCAGACAATTCCAAGCATTAGTTCGAGGGGAAAATGTGTCTGTTGTAAATGTAGATTCTTACTTCTACGCGAATTTTCAATTTGAAAATATGTTGAAAAAATTCGAGAAAATATGGAGAAAAATTCTTCATTTTCTGAGAAGCGATCATTCCGCCGTTGTTGCAAAACGGTCGCGTCACAGCATGTCTATCCCTTTTTCATTTCTGTCTTACTGAGTTACTTCATTGTTATCGTTTCTCTGTTTTCAGGTAACGGCAGGGAGAAAATCGCTGTTAGACTTGGAAAGAAAGCAAGTATTCCCGAAAAGGAAGCAAAGATAGTCGATTAGTGAAAAGTGCGAGATTCGAGCCGAAATACCTAAGGCAGCGTTCATACTTCGCGACGGCAGCGCTTCGGTCGCGTTCGACGCGATCAATGCAGTCGAAAGCATGCGCATCGATCGCGTCGAACGCGCGACCGAAGCGCTGCCGTCGCGAAGTCTGAACGCTGCCTAAGCATCAAGTAATTTCATGAAGAATCCTACAGGATATGGATTCGTGGGGTCTACACAAAAGAATTCTCTTCTTATTGACCTGGAGACAATACCGCATTGTGGGGGAAGTCTGATCCTGTCAAATCTTGCTAAGAAATAAAAAGGAAAGCCTTTAGCGCTACTTACTATTTCCATAACTTGCAGATTCAGTGGCAGATTCACACGACTGGGTTATTCTGCTCAATCTTGTGCTAATCAGCAATCCGACTATCCTTGCTTTTTTCGTAGACATTTGCCTTTTCCAAGTCCTACACCATTTTCATTTTGCAGTAACCTGTAACTACAGAACTTAGAACAATGAAAAAAAATCTAATCAGACAGTAATGAACAACAATAGGGGAACATCCGGTAGGCGTTATCATTCTGAAACAACGGCGAAGCGACGTTATTCAGAC